GACGATTGTATAATATATAGAACAATTAAAAGCAACACAAGATACAGAAATTTTACAAAGAGAATTAGATGACTTACAGAAATGGGAATCTATTTGGAGCATGTCTCTCCGCCCAGAAAAATATCAGTTATTAAGAGTAACAAAAAAACTGAAACAAATTCAAATTCCACATATCTTATTCATGGTAAACCAGTAAAACAGACTAAATACCCAAAATACTTAGGTGTAATAATAAATGAAAAACTGTCATGGAATCCTCATATTAATGAAACTATGAAAAAATCAAACAACGCATTAGGATTTATTAGAAAAAGGCATATAAATCAAATAAGAACATAAAACTAAAATGTTATTTAACCTTGGTTAGGCCAATAATAGAATATGCATCCTCTGTTTGGTACCCCTCAACTCAAGAAAACATTAAGAAACTGGAACAGACACAAAATAGAGTAGTGAGATTCATAACAAACAATATTCACATATGACTAGAGTCAGGGTCGGTCCTAACAATTGCGGGGCCCTATGCGAAACTGATTGCGCGGGGCCTAGTCTGGAAAGGGAATAAAGATAATAAGTGAAAAGTAAGATTTTGTATTAGAAAAAAAAATCGACTTTGAAATTTAATTATTCTTTACTGAATGCAAAATTGCGATCAAATTAACTTTATTTTAGGAATCTTGCAACCTATGACATATTTAAATGTCAGTGCCTATAAAAGTAAATAAAATATTGGAACTTCCGATTACGGTGAACATTCGCCCGATTATTACATTTTATGACATGAAAGCTGACTATTCTTTTTTTCTTTTATCGCGCGTAGGATTCCCGTTTTCCCTGACCGGCCCTGACTAGAGTAACACCTTAAGTAAAATCACTAAATTTAGAAAGCCTTCAGGATAGAAGACTTAAAAGTAAAGTAGCAATTATACATAAAACACTGAACCATAATCTTCAAATACAAAAACAAAATTTAATAAAATACTCAGACACAAAGATAAAGGCACAATTCTCGTTCCATATGCTATGACAAATTTCTACAAAAGATCCTTCCTCCAAAGCGCTATTAGAGCATGGAATGGGTTGCCTGAGCTAGCCAGGAAAACCAGCGACTTGGAGTTTAGGTCATTGATTAATATGCATGATTAAATGAATGACGCGTAGGACGTCATCATCTACTTTTCTGAAGTAACGTCTGCATCATATAAGATAAGATATCATACGGTAGTACTACTACACACTTCGAATAGTTACTGAAATACGAATGCTAATACACTCGATTTAAAAAAAATTAGGTTATAGCATCTATTTCAATAATTGACAATATCTATTATATGTATTTCAGTTTTCCAATTTTCGCCCCATCATGATGGTAAACGTGGGTTATGTTCTATTGTTTGGTCTGGCATGTGCCTCTGCTAATCCTATATCAGACGAAACGGACTTTGTTTCAAACGTAAGTGACATTGTTGAAGTTATATATAACCTATCTACTATATATATATATTATATATATACTTATTCTATCTTCTGTATATCACATGATCAGCTGGTGCCCACCTATAAAAACGAGAAACGGTTCGTGAGTAGTGACTTGTGTGTTGGGGGCTTTCTTCCATTCCCTCCAGTGCAATTAAACCTGGCCTAACTAATGTCTTATAATGAATATCTAATTGATCTAATTGTTTTGTAAAGGGTCAATATCTTATTCAATGTAAATAATGTTAATATATATTCAACTAGTTACTAGTGTAAATCCCTCATAAGTAAAGTGCAATCTGCCTTGTACAATGGTCGAATGTATATGTTCATGAATTTCAGACCAACAACCTGATCAGATATACCTAGTGAGTCTACACATGTAGTCCTAGTGTAGTGTGTATAGTTGTTTGTGTTAACCATCACGCATTGTTTTTTCCTTGAGCATACGCACGCCAAAAAAGTTGGGTGTCAGTCAAAAAAGATAACACATTGGCATGGTCAGTCAAGCATGTAGATAAATTATACCGGTCCACTAGTTAGAGGTCAAGGGTTGTTTTTTTTTTTTCACTCCAGCAAATTGTTTCTTTGTTTGCTAGATCTAACTGCGGTACTATTGTTCAATTTATTTTATGCCATTTTAAAATTTACTATAAGGTTTTCCGTTATTTATTGAGTCAAAAGAATTAAACAATGAAATTAGCTTTCTTTCTAAAGATTTTAATACAAGGCAAAAAAATACATACACGCAAACAAGCACATCTTTGTTTTATTTTATTGTGCAAAGAACGTACGTAAGAAACATTCAATGCAAAGAACGTATGTTAGAAACATCCTCCTTAACTTATTACTTATTAATTATTTTATTCGTGGTTTCTGTAACTGTTACAAAAGGGAACGATAGTAAGCCTATGGGTGTCAGGTGTGTAAAAGTCGTCCTAGCCTGATACACAGTGGCTTAGTACGCATCTTAAGTAAAAAAAAATCGTAATAGCAAGGAGTTAATTGACTGTCACAAATTATTAAGAATATTGTTATCAAATCAAGACACTTAACTGCAGGAGTAATATTCAAGTTAACACGTTAGAAAAATTATTTTACGTTAATATTTATTGACAGTGTAATATCCTTTGTTAGCACGTTGTGTTTTTTCATTCTGGCTTATAAATGGTCAATGTCTATCAATAAATTGGGTGTCAAGGACCAAAGAAATAAAGAGTAGGGAGTGTTTAGCTCTCCATTTTAAGATAGCCCTGGTCGTGTCTTCTACAAAATAATTAGTTACTGGCTTACTGGGCTATATAATCTCGCGGTTTGTGTTCTGTGTAGCTAAAGGTCACTCGTTTAGGTGCGTGTGATCTTTAGTCCAGCTTACTAATTGAGATTTATGTTCAAGTAACTCGGCACACTTGAACAGGTGTGGCCTCTAGCCCAACCACGTGATTAAGATTTTTCTCCAAATAAGCAAACTCTTTGTCCGGATACCCGTGTAGATGTTTGGCTTTAAGTCCAGTCCACTCCCCCCCCCCCCCAATTAAGATTGGCTTCTAAGTAAACATAGTTCCCTCCTGTGACCTCTAGAGAGTGCTTACGTCCATAGTATCTGACTTGGGGTCACCTGTCAATCAATGAACTCAATGTGATGAACTAAACAAATAAAAGGGGGAGGGTGTTGTTCATCTGGAAATATACCTAGTTACCTTAGAGGTGTGGCTCTTGTAATCCAGCCCCCCTAATAAAGATTATCTACTAAATAAACAAACTCTGTTCCTCGAAAGGTGTTACCTCTAGAGAGTGTCAATACCCTGACATTAAAGCTACGTCCATCGTATTTAACTTGCGGTCACCTGCTTATAAAAAAAAAAACTCAATGTGATGGACTAAACAAATAAAAGGGTGGGAGTTGTTAATCGCTACCTCTGGAGATATACCCGCACAGCTAGACAGACGTCGGGTCAGCATGACGTAGTTAAGGAATGTGGCATTTTAACATGTTAACTAATCTACTCAAAGGTCAAGACAAATTGAAAAAAGTGTCAGCCATTGCTGCTCTGTATGTAAAGCGCATTTATGATGTAAAGTTTCATTTCTAATTATATTAAGTTATTAACACGCCTTGTCTTTACAATAAACGATGTTTGGTGCATGTTCATAATGGCTCTATTTTTAAGCACATTGTTTTATTTTAATATAAACTTTAATGCATTCTACAATAGACATTAATGGAACGAGGTCCACTTTATGCATATTAAATAGATGTATTTTTTACTATCCGGTAGTGATATCCGACCGGAGCCGAATAGCACCAGATAGTAAAAAATGCCGGATATATATATATATATTAAGAAAGCACTCTAATCCTCTCACTCATAAAGTATATACTTGGGATTCTGTTATTAAATCTTTTTACAGATAAGAAATATTTATTACCTAGCATACATCAACTGTCTTTCTCTCTGAAATTTTACACGATTATTTCTTTTTCCTGACAAAACAAGAATCAATAAATAAAACAGAAATTACTTAATTGATTTATTATTTTGTTTTATATCGACCAAGGGAAAGAAATAGTACTTGAATGATCTGGTGGTATAAGTTGAATTAGTCCCTTTATATTTTTCAGAAAGAAAAAAATCGCTGCTTAAAATTTAAAACTTACAATAGATTCTAAATTCTTTTAATTTTTTTTAGTATATATATGCTTAACGATGCTTCGGCCCTTTGTTCAAATTCTGGTTAACTTTTACTTTTTTTTTTTAATAAACGCATTTATAAAGCTGTTGCGGTTACAGTCAAACCATTGTTTCCCAGTCTCCTCCGTTTTCCAACTGGCCCAGACAAGTGATAGGATCATAGCGTACCGAGAAAGCTAAAAGCATGAAATTGCATTTCACAAAAATAATTGGTAAAAAATATTTCTAATCGCACAGATTTACTATTATTAGTCTAGAACTATTACAAATTTAATTACATGACTAATTGATGCAATTTCTCCTAATATAAACTATAATTTCCGTAATTATTTTTCTTTGTTGTTTTATTATTTACTGTTTTTTTTAAATCTCTTTTTGTATTGTGTTAAGATTTAAATCTATCTACTTATTAATTTTACTTTCAGCTTCTGAAGAGAGAATTCTGGGAACAGGTTGCAAAATGGGCTCCTGTAGCGGGGCAAGTCGCTGGCGCCTTGGGCAGAGACGTTCGAAACCTGGAAGATGAACAAATTACCAAGCAAAGAGATTTGATTGACGATGTAGTTGGCAGAGATGTTCAGAGTGAAGAACTACTGAAAAGAGAATTCTGGGAACAGGTAGCGAAGTGGGCCCCTGTGGCTGGACAGGTGGCAGGTATATTGGGCAGAAACGTTCGAAATCCTGAAAACACAAATGCAAGATTTATTGGTGGTGAAAGCATTCCAAAAATATATGGCAGGGATGAAGACTATGCCGAGCAAAGAGATCTTATTGACGATGTAGTTGACAGAGATGTTCAGAGAGAAGAACTACTGAAGAGAGAATTCTGGGAACAGGTAGCGAAGTGGGCACCTGTTGCTGAGCAAGTCGCTGGTGCCTTGGGCAGAGATGTGAAAAACGTAGAATAGCTAATAAATGATACTAAAAAAATTAGAAATAAAGCAACAATAAACTCCATAAAGCTGCTTATAACAAAATGTATCCCTTGTTTATAAAGACTTTAACATTAGTTATGGTAAAGATCTCAGCCATAGCTTGTAGGGAAAATGTAATATTATGATATTTCACATATACAATGTAATGTAGTTAGTTGTCTATAATATGGGAATAAAGTTCATTCTAGAATACACAAATTAAAACTTTGTTCTTATTTGCTTTAAATGTAACTGTAAAAAATAAAATGACATATAAGTACATATCCTCCTTTGTGGTTTAAGATGAGCACATTTCTCTTTTCCTATCAATCTCAAGATGGCCAATACGGTCCAATCCTTGCTTTAATTATTAAGCCGGCCACACACATGGCATGGGATAAGATGGGTCTAATGCACATAAGCCTGCTTCTTGTCTCAGACTTTTTTGTTTGCATGCTGTTTGCCTGATATCTTGAGACTCCAAAACTTCACGCCATGGGGAGCGATCTGGAGGTATGTGTTTCCCAGCTGTGAATGTCAATATCACACATTGAGAGATCTCGAAAGCGTGTCTTTGCAACGCATTTGTAGACCACTCGAGAGCGCTTTACTGCACACAACTCCACATTAAGTCATTTGGGAACGATTTTCTGGAATACAGACTACATGTCCAGCTTATCGAAATCTGGACCTTTTTGCTGTGGCTTGGATACATTTCATATATGACAACTGTAATATTTACACGTCTGTTACGTATTCTAACAAGTTCTCCTGAATCATTTATTTAGACACCCTTAGATGGAAGGAATATAGAATTTGATGTACAGGGAATATAAGGTTCCGGACTCTGAGGTATATAAGATTGAAAGGAGGAGTACAGCACTGTAGACTTTCAGCTACCATCTTATCTTATCTTATATAATACAGACGTTACTTCAAAAAAAAAAAAAGAAGATGATTACGTCCTACGCGTCATACATCTAGTCATGCATGTTAACCAATGACCTGAATTCTGCCAAGTCACTAGTTTTCCTGGCTAGCTCAGGTAATCCATGCTCTAATAGCACTAGGGAAGGAGGAATATTAGCATATATTTGTCCTAGCCTATGTTCACCATGCTTGATAACAGTCACCCAAACCTTGCTCATGTAATTTATTTATGAAAAATTACTTTTACTAACTTCTACTAAGTGGTTTCTTAGTCTATACGATTCTAGAAATAACATGTCTGGAGCAACTGGCACATATATATTACTTTGAATTTTTCTAAAGACTTATTGTCATCATACTGTTGTACAAGAATAACATAACAACTTTTTAAACAAGCAAAGTACACAAAGTACTCTTAGAAAAAAAATAGTCATATTAAGTGTATCAATTAGTATGGTTTAGTCATGTAATTAAATTTGTTATATATCTAGAGTTCTAGACCAGCACAAAATCTGTGTGATTAGAAATATTTTTTGTTACCAATAGTTTTTGTTTAGCGCCAGTGTTCAAAATACTTTTCAGTCATCTCTTAACCAGGGCAGAGTACCAAGGGACTGGAATAAAGGTAAAGTAACCTTCTTATTTAAAAAAGGAGAAAGGTCTGACCCAGGAAACTACAGACTAGTATCACTAATGTAAGATCTATAATAGTTGACTGTGGAGCTGGGGAAATACAATAGAAGAAATTAAATTGTAATATTTTTTTTTTAAAATGGAACCAGTGTTCTCTTTGAGCACCTCGATGTATTTCATGCGGTTTACTAAAGAGAAAACTTAACTCTAAACTACTTTGTATGCCTGTCAGCAAACAACGGATGCTTGTTATCAAAATTACGTTCCAATTATTTCGGCTTTATAGATTCATTACAAATGACGCACTTGGGTTTTGCAATTGCTGCTTTAAGTAAAATGATACAGTAAAAGTCTACATTATATTCTTTTTTCTTAACATTTTATTTGTTGAGATACATCTTCATCGGGCTACTTAATAATGGAAATATTACCTCCAATAACATGGACTATAAAATGACGGCATATTATTAATTATTAACCAACTAGATTTTCAATTCAGTTACGATGAAAACAATATCTATGATTCCGCATGACGTAATGTATGCTATTGACTAACTTACAAACTTTCAAAAATATTTACACTGCAACAACATTAGAAGGAAATTATTCTGTTGTCTGTCTCTAAATAAGTAAAGAAAAAAAAAATTCCAATGGAATAGACAAAAAGTCCATTTTTTTATGGTCTTAGGCGACCCCCGGCAAATCGTCGTTCGACCCCCAAGGGGGTCGCGACTCACAGGTTGAGAACCCCTGCTTTAGTTGTTGATATGCAAATCCTTGTATCATTTTCTGTCTCTGATGGTTTCAATAGTTATGTAGTAAATCTTTGCTTTTGTATTAAAATTTGTATTATAATTATTAGAATTTTGCAAAGTAAGAGTTTGATTTAATGAAGGCCTTACATGGCAAAGAATTGTTTTTCTTTAATTTTCCCTTGTGTGAGATTTATAATCAAGATTGAAGACGCTCGTGGAGCTTTACTGGGGACCATTTAAAAAAAAAAAAAAAAACACTCACAGATACTATATTTTATATTTTCAGTCTGTGGTGATTCTAACAGAATTCCAGGATCTCTCGGTGTTAACTGGTGGAGATTAGTTGTCCCGGGACTACATTGGGGAAAAAATTATCACCAGACCAGACATACCGGAAAGCATAATTAATCTTAGATTATATCTAGTCCTCTAAACTCCTCATGAGCTCACTGCAATACTGTTTGGCCTCAAGCTTGTGTTGACGACAAGTTAACATCTGGAAACCGGTACCGGTCTGTCAACTTGTGGAGGTTTCTCTAGTGATTTGGATAAGCGGTCATAGTAATAGAGTTTCTTTGGACCTTTCAGCCTGTATGCAATTGCGTGGGACTTAATGACAGAGTGATGTTTAAGGACATTAGTTGTGTTGATTAACACACTTTGTGGTACATAAAAACAGCTACAATAGGAATTCAAGCTTGTAGGTAAACGCACCAACAAAAACTTCCATATTTCTGGGAACGTTTGGGCTTCTAAAGGAAATAAGGACAGATCCTTTCGAAATAATCCCAATATCAATGACTTCGTTCGTCTACAACAGAAGACAATGGACAATCTAGTGACCGTGAAGTTTGGACAGTTTCTGAACAATGTTAGCCCCAATAGTTGTGTCTAACGTCAACTATAAACGGGAAAGTTTGCGCAAACAAGTAATTATCTCATTGATCTAACTTATCAGAGCTAGGGGTCTTAACGACAGGCAGTTCCGAGAAAAACTTTAAGATTTGGAAAAAATTCATTCCGATGTTCGGTACCACAGTAGTATACGCTAGCTTAGCATGGGCAAAGCATTGAGAAGATATATGAGATCTAAAGGAAGAAATTGTCATGTTCTTCGAAGAACATTGACTATAACTTTCTTACTAGTATTTCTAATGCAAGAGAGAATTCATGTCTCATGTTGAAGTACTAAACTGCAATGTTTGCACTTGGATTATATTTGTATGTTAAATCTTTTATAACAAAGATTTCCTTTTTCTCCCATTCATGCAAGTTGCGACTTAATGGGGAGATAACAATTTTTAAGCCATCGTAAAGGCAGGAGTGATTCCCCTTAAGAAGTTAAAATAAGGGTATGTAAACTGATTGATCAAAACATAAAAATTTCTATGACATAGATCAGTTTGGTGTTAATACTAGATATGATTAAGCTATAGGCCTTAGTTATTGTGAGTTATGCGTCTTGTGTTGTGAACAAGCAGTTCTGCCCAAGATGGCGCCCAGTGATGATTGAATAAAAGTGTACGGCCCAACATCGACATTCGTTGCCTTGATTCTTTAATACCTAATTAGCATGGTGGCAGCGGAAAGTCAACCATGTAAGTGCTTTCACTCTCGCATGAAGTAAAAGATTATACGTCAAGGGAGAGATTAAAGATAAATTGAGAGCTACATCGGGTAGTCTAACCCCCCCCCCCCCCCCCCCAAATCACGTACGCTTTGAGCTATTAAGGGAGTCAACCAAGAGATTAATACATCAAACAGTAGAAAGAGTTACACAAGATGTCGGAGAATCTACTGACGCCCCTCCCCCCCCCCCCCCCCCCCCCAATGCTTGGAACTAACGGAGGGGAATGTTAGCCAAAATTTCAGACGTTGGAGGCGGCAGACGGAAATATATCTGCAGGCGACGGGAGACTACTGAAGGCCCAAGAGCCAACAGAAGGCCATCGTATTGCATTGTGCCGGCCCACATAAGAAGTGGTCGAATAAGAGCCACCCCGACGTGGCACAATAACTATGATTTTAACTAGTGGTGACAACCCCGTCAAGTTTTTTTAAAATTTTGACTACTTCTCTATAGTCGTCAATATTCATGTATATTATGTTATATGTATATTATATGTTACTTATATTTATGATTTTGTTTACATGCCAATGTTGTCTGTTGAAAATGTGATCTGTGTATCGGAGTATCGTGTCAGTGTATGTGAATAGGTTATTGTCTATAATTTACCTCTGTTCGTGTTGAAAGAATAATGTTTCTGCCATGTGTTTGTCTTGGAATGTTTGTTGTGAACTTGTTTCTTCGATAGAAAGGGAAGGATGTTAATACTTGATATATGTAAGTTATAGCCCTTAGTCATTGTGAGTTATGCGTCTTGTGTTGTGAACAAGCAGTTCTGCCCAAGATGGCGCCAATTGATGATTGAATAAAAGTGTACAGCCCAACATCGACATTAGTTGCTTTGATTCTTTAATACCTAATTAACAGTTAAATGATGTTCTTTACATTGAACGAGACATAGCCAAAGGTTTAGAAATAGATGCACTGGTTTCTGACTTTGCTACTTAGAAGGCCAGAAAAAAATGAAGTTCTAGTTCATAAATATTATATCTATTAAATGTCAAATAACTAATATAGAAAAAGATTTAATTTTGATAAGAAGTTGTACCGTACAAACATTGACCTTCAAGACTGATTATCACTGATATGGAGTCTTAACTAAGTCAAACGTTATGGCAATGTTACTTACAAAACAGTACAATCCTTGCATTGGAATGCCTTTTGGTGAATAATACATTTATATTAATAATTTTTTTGTTGCACACTAAACTTGTCTTTGGGGGGGGGGGAGGGGGCCCAACGAAATATTCTTGAACCCGGGCCCACAGTTACATTGCTAT